GGGGCTTTGAAGAAAGCAGAAAACAAAGAGGTAAAACCATGATTTTTTTAAGAGCTGGAAAGCCATGGCTTCATTTTTCTTGTAAATGCAAGGGTGGATGTTTGATTGCCTTTTAAAGCATATTGGGAGGGACATTAATCTCCTCTGTTTGTTCCCTTGTCACAAAGTTGGGTTAGATTCTTCTGCTCCATTTTCTTAGTCACTGAGCCAACAGGATGATTTATGGAAAAATTCTTTCCCCCCAAATACCACCATCTGAGTTCATCAGATTTCAGTCTGAATCAGTAACCCATCTAAATGTTTTCTGCCTGGTGGACTCAGGGTGACCCAGAAGATTCTCAATCTGATTCCATCTAGGTATGAAGGTGTCTGCCTGGTAAATACCACCCACATACTTGCTACAGACTGGCATTCTCATGGGAGCCTGGGCAGAGAGCCCTGGGAGTCAGTGGAGCAGAGAGAGTGAACTTCTCGCCCAGGGGTCACAGAAAAGAGAACAGAGCAGGCCTGGTGCATCGTCCCCGGGCTGTTGGCGCCACTGCAGCCCAGAAAGCTCATGCAGGCCCAAGCATTTCCCCACAGCTTCTGCCTGCTGCTCAGCGAGGCGCCTCCCAGAGGAAACAAGGAAGGACTCCCGTCTGCCCAGTTCTCTTCTTCCCTTTAAACATTCATTTCACATCCCCTCTCTGTGTGACATCTTCCCACACTGGCCCTCTGCTATGCCCACTCTTTTTTACTCTGGCTGTTAGCCTCAAAGAGAGATATGTTTTGAGTGCATTTCAAATTTGCCTAAATGGCTTCTTGCACACATCATGCCCTAACTTCTTTTTGTCCCTTAACTTCATGTTGTTGCAGTATATCCACCTTGATACACATAAATCATGTTCTTTCACTTTAATTGAGGTAGTCACATCCATTGTTGGAATATGCCAGATGTTGGCCATTCCTTCCTGGATGGAAATTACAATTATTTGTTAATTTAACGAATTCTGTTGCACATGTTTCTTGGTATGCAGGTGTGGGGGTTTCTCTGGGTCTACATCAAAAAGGAGAATGGCTGGTCAGAGGGTGGGTAGTTGTCAATCTGGAGGCCAGGAGCACAGCTAAATTTTGGGAGTTATATTTCTAGGAGCGAGGGAGATGAGTGTGCAGTGACACATCCCTCTTAGAGTCCAGATGTGGAGAGTAGGTAGTACCGACCTTAGGGCTGGGCTTGTTGCATAATGTTGAAATGCAGCATCAATATTTTGTGTTAAAAATGCTGTCGGGATCCTCTTTTTGTAGAGCCTAGAGCAGAGAAACGGGGTATCACAGTCAGCAATGACACCACAGATCAGCACCCCAAAATCTTGGTCCTCTACCCGAAATGGAATCTATCTCAAGCGGAAACTGTAGTGTATGTTTTGCTCTTATGCACCAGCAAGAAAGATATTTGAGCAACAGCTCCTAGTGCTTATAGCACAAAGCAGGGCCTGAATGTGGGCCCAAAATCACAGACTAAACACTTTTTTCTCCCCAAAATGTTTTTTCCTGTCTCCACAATGTTTTAAAACATGGAACAAAATGTTCGTTGGAATAAGGTTCCAGAGCAAAGCTCTATTCCAAGGCCGGGACTATAGTTAGTCTGAACCCACACTCCTTCAGAAGCTGCAAGCCTCTTGGCCATCTTTGCCCAGTCACAATCTGCGTTTGTGAAAATGCCCGGGTAGTAATACCGAGGGATGTTAAATCCGTCCGGGTTGTTCATTTTCTTTGAAAACCTCTTCCAAAAGGACACCGTGTTCTTTCTGGAATACGACGTAAGCTTTATTTCAGTGAGTTCAGGTATTTGTTGAGTCTCTATTGTTTCCAAACCATGGGGGATATGAGGCTGAAAAAAAAAAAGTTTCTTCCTTTTAGTAGCTCAAAATCTAGTTATTTCAAACAAAAATAACTTTGATCAAAGCCAAACTGTGACACATGACACATATTATCAAGGTTGAAAAAATGGAGCATGGAAGGACAGGGGAGACAGGCTCTCACTGGGATGGCTGAGGAAGCTCCCGAGAGCATGTGGGGCTGGAACTGGACGCCACTCCCGGTGCTGATGGAATGGCCTGCAGGGCCTCTCCACCGAGACCAGGTTCTTTTGCCGGCTGAGGACAGATCTGGGGACCCCGGGGAGTGCTGATTAGCACCATGTGACTAATGAATCATGCTGACTAATGTGCTCTGAATGGATTGATTCAACAATAAAAGGAGCACTGAGAGTCAAGAGTTCAGATCCTGAATTTCACCGTGAAGTATAAATCACTTACGCTCAGGACTTCATTCTTTTTGGTCAATTAAAACGTGCTCATGATGAGAATCCAAGGCACCTTGACCAGAAAGTGCACCCGAACTGTAGGGAGAGCAGAAACGCTCCCAGCACACCCAGGACAGGCTTACGCAACCTCAGGTTATTCATAGGACGTGCAGAATCGACCCATCGCATGCTGCTCCCAGCCGTGCGGAACTTTTATTTCCTCGCACGGGCCATGAGAACCGACACAGTGCACGGCGCTCACACCAACTGACAGACAGAGGAGCCTTTGAACAATCTTCCTGTCTACCTACTGGGGCGTCTGTGTTTTTCTACAACAAATGTCGCCACAGAACTAAGAGCTTGCATTGCACACACACAGCTCTTTCTCTCTTTTGACACCTCCCCAGCGAGGCTGCTTGAGAACCTGGCCTTCCGTGTCCAGATGTTTGCTGAATCCCGCAGGCCCCCCAAAGGGCCCGAGTTCCTTTGTTGCTCTCCGAATCATTTCCCACAGAGGCTGACCGATGTCCTGAAGGAGCCCTTCAATAGGGAGGATAAATGGAGGCAGATGAAGACATGACCCCCTGAGGTTCACCCACGTCCACGGTAACAAAGGGGCTGAGGCACAATCTTGTCAGGAGCTGTTTGGTCAGCAGCGTCCCTTCGAGAGGCCGCGTCTCCCCCACGGGGCTGCTTTCAAAGGCTACGATCAGGGTGGAAGTGCTAGGCGTTTGTGAAGGGCCGGGCTGTGCTAGGTGTAGCACAAAACATCTAAATCACGGTCCCCTGCCTTTGTGAGGACTTCCTGGCTGCAGATGGCAGCTGGCTTTCTCAGGGGAAACCTGGGGGGAGAGGAGGAAGCCGAAGAGGGGCTCCAGCTTCTCTGGGTGACCTCTTCCCACCCAGCCCGGGAAGACTCCCCTTTCTCGACAGCCATCAGGCCTGGGCTGCAGGACCCCAACCCACACGTGTGCTGCGGCACAGACAGGTGTGTGTGCGGAGTGGACCGCTGCTGGGGGGAACGCTGCCTCAGGCTGCGAGTGACAAGTTGGTGCATTTCACAACAACAACCTTTTTGTTTGGTTTTTTTCAAACTTTCTTTCTCTCCCTCTTTTTTTCTCTTTTTTTTCCCTTTAGGCCAGCAGAGGCCATAGGGACACTGTGACCTTTGTCTAGAGCTGATGGGGGCGTGATTTGTGAAATGAAACAGGACTGTGCTGCGTGGAAGAAGGAAGCGGAAGCCTGCCTAATGGCGATTAATTAGTTGATTGCTGCTGAGATGGTAACAGATTTGCCCTCACACCACTGCGCCGGCCATCGCAGACCTGGCAGGGAAGGTGAAGACGAAGGAGTCTTTGTTCTGGTCTCTAGATGCATGGGGCTGTGGGCCTTGCCGCTGTGGGATGTCAACAGCCATAATAATAATAATTTGCACTTATATAGCACCTTTCAGCCAAGCACCTCAAAGCGGTTTAACCACATTAATTAATTAAAGCCCACAATCCCCCTGGGGAGAAGAGGAGGAGGACTGACAGGATTTGTAATTACAGGAGGGGACGTTTCCGAATAAAGTATTGTCCACCAAATAAAAAGAGGAGGTGTATAAGAATTGGGATCTCCAAAGAGTAACTGATTCAGAAATGAAATCATGGAAAGATGGAGGGAGGGGGCATCGGCTTGGGGGTCTGTTCTTGTGTCAGAGGGAGGTCGACAGGCTCAGAATTCACTGACAGGTCTGGATCCCACTGAGAAGCGGAACATGTATGGTGTTAGCAGCATTTGGAAGGTCATTAGTGGTGCAACTATTGTGGTGTAAATTCAAGTTTCACTAATAAATTGTGTACAGCCCTGCAGAACAAAGAGTGAGATTCTTGCAGTATTTAATAAAGGATGAAATGATTTCTTTAGATTGAAAGCCCAAAGCTGGGCCAGTCAATTAGCAAATAAATCAATTGGTGACCCATAGGATAATTTAGTCATTTCTAGCACAACACCAAGCCGACCCCCTCCTCCTGCCATAGGCTTCCCACCAAAGCTTCAAGACGGGTTCAGGGCAAGGCCTGGGGCTCCGGCCCCTTCAAATCTTGCCCGCCTTTGGCATTGGAACCTCTCTCACCCACGTGGGTAGTGACCCTGAGCTGTCTTCTCTATGATCACTTTGTACCTGCTCCCCCTCCAGGGGTGTTTTAGTGCCAAAGAGGCTACAATCAAGTCTTATCCTGTCTCTTGTCTCCTAGGGGTGCCCAACAGAGTGCTGCGGGCAAAGCAGGTGGACTGGCCAGGAATGGCTGAACAACTAAGTCCTTACCAGCTCGTATCTATTGAGCCCATACCAAGTGCTAAGGGGAAGCTCAGAGGCAATAGGCTATGAACCCCATCCCTGTAACTCTGTTACAAGGAATGGGAAAGACTCACATACTACTAACAATAACGTAAAACAATAAAGTCAAATGACATGATGGATGCACGTTCAAGCCTCATGCTGCAAGGGCAGAAGAGGGATCATGGAAGGTATTCCTGGGGAGGAGCAAGGGGCACCCTGGGCTCTGGCTGGTGAGAGTGGTGTGGGCAGACCCGGCAGAAGAGGGCGAGGCTAACTTTCCAGACTGTGGCCCTTAGCCTCCCTCTGAGTGAGGTGCATTCTGAGAACTTGGGGTCTTCGACAGAACACTTGGGAAAACCAAGCTGCGTTTTTGCAGCTGATTAAATGTAAATTTCCCACGAATTCTTATTACATGAATTGGCCTATTTCGAACATCAAGGGAGTATTTAAGAAATTCGGAAAGATGTTTTGTTCTCTGTAACTATTAATTCAGTCTCTCTCCACTTTCACTGTTCACCAAGTAAGAAAAGCCAAACATTTCACACATAAAAACACTCAAAGGTGTCTGAAAAAGGTACAAGGGAAACACTTCTCCATCACATGTGTCAGAGATTAAATGGCTTCCTCCTGGAGACTTTTGTTTTGACCCCTGTACACACTAAGACAGTGCTCTACACCCAGCAATTAACGAGCCAGTCCCCACATCCTCCCGCTCCAGGGCCCACCAGGGCAGCTCACCACGAACCACAGTGCCAGGACGACCGCCGCAGTCTTTGCCTCACGCCAGTATTTATGGAGTGCGCTGCATGTCTGACACACGCCATACGTGCCTAAGCGTACACTCTCTCCTAATAGTCTGACAGGGTAGGACTTCTTTCATCCCTCTTTCCAGATGAGGAACAAGGCAAGAAGCGTTCAGTCTCTTACGAGAAAGTGATAGAACGTGGATTTGAACCCAGGCAGACTTGCTCCTTCCTTTCTCCCCCCTCACCAACCCCTGTCATATTTCTGTTCATATCTATTACAACCTCTCTTGGCCATCCTCAATCCACTCAAGGGCTCAGCACAATATTATACACATAGCAGGAACTCGAATATTTTCCAGGTAAAAGAATCGCTAGAGTAGTGGCTAAAAAGCCTGGGCTGTGGTGCTGAGAATAAGGTAGAGGCCCCATCACCACCTCCTTCTCCTTTCTCCGTTATTAAAGATTAGGGCTCATGGGCAGGAAGGTTTCCCCAAGGAATGTTCACAAGAAAGAAGGCACAGGCCGTATTCATGAGCTGGAAATCTGCCAAGCTGGTACCACCCATGAGATGCTAGTGAAGCATCTTGAGCTGTTAATTACTTTCATCGAACTCGGATGCGATGTGGAGCTTTTTTCCTGGGGGGAGTGTACATGTGCATACTGGCATGTAGACGAAGTCCGACTTTGTCTCCCTGTCTGTGCCGGCATCCTAGCTGCTCCCTGGCTATGCCGTGATCCTGGTGAGGCATCAGGAGTGTATTTCTGGAAGCATCAGAGCGAGCATTTCTGGATTAATCCAGAGGAGCTGAACTCTTCGCACAGTGTCTGCTATGTTGTATGTTGTGAGCAACATTACTGCTCTGAGACAAGTTCGTCTGGCCAGAGGAGATGGGGAATGAGGATTAAGTAATGGGGGAGAGGGAATGAAGACAAAAGGAGTGCAAAATATCAGATTCTGACCTAAAACCGTGGTGGTCTTAAAGCTACTTGGCAGTTTTTCCCCCGCTTGGCAGTGTCTTCCCAACCCGCCCCACCCCCGTGCTTCGGTTTTAATGTCGTCACCATCACTTTTGTCCCATGGCTGTGACGGGACGTTCTTTATTCAGTTACAGAATTCAGCAGAGGCCTCTTTTGCTCAGACGGAAGGAAGAAGCCCATCCCACTTCTCAAACAAGCATTCTAAGTGTTAGGGAAGCACGTTGCCTACTTTTCTAACTGTCCTTGAGGGTGGTTTTCAGATGCAGCACAAGTTCCCCTGAACTCCAAACAGATCTGGGCGGAGAGAGGACTAATAGATAGCGGACATGTGTCAGGGTGGACTTGTGCCTAAACAAACAGCCCCCCAAATCTCACGACTCTACGTCTCCTGGGCCACTGTCCTCGATGTGGTGCCTCAGGTTTCATTTC